ATTCGGCAAAGGAACGCGCGACAAACACGGAGCAACGCGCGAGGCGACAGCCAAGCGCGGCCGAGGCCTCAGATGGGTGGCTGAGGGGACTGAGACTGAGGGGAACTGCCAGCGGGCACAGGCTGATGGAGATGCACGGAGAATCAATAATTATTATCATCACTTCTCGTGCCCGAGCTCCTCCACCATCCCGCAAGCCCATGAGAGGAGTGGTGCGCCATGACTGGAGTTTTGCTTGTTTGCACGCGTTCAAACAAGTGGGATTCATTACCAGAAATCAAATGCTGAATATCCGGCGAACCAAGTCTACACATCAGAACGCGTAACTTCGACACATCACACAGAGATGTGCAGAAACGCAGCTTCTACATTTGAAACAGACATGCGTGGGAAGGGCAAAACGGACTGTGCTTCTACACATCAAACAACCATATGTAGAATTGAAACTTAAAGTCTGTAGGTCTACATTCTGGAAATATGTAGAAGCATCTTCCTCCCCAGCGGTTGGCTTTCTAGGCGGGAGCGAAATGAGGGTCTAGCCGCAACCCAAACTGGACTCTCGTAATGGTGCTGCAAGCACTATGCCGCGGCGAGATTTGTTTAACGACGTGGGCCTGGCGGCTCGCGCGTGAAGACCGTGAGGCGAAAACGGTCCTGAAGGCTGGCAGCCTTGATCCGGGCCTTCCAGCTGCGACCAAGCTGGTGCGGCCGAGGTCTCGCGATTTGAACTTGCACAAACATTGGCGGAGGAGGGAGTGGAGGAAGGGCAGGAGGAGGTAGCGGAGGAGGACGGGCATGTGGCTGCAGCTTTCAGGAGAACCCAAAGCCAGCAACACCAGCACCAGGAGGAGAAGGAGGAACGGGGAGAGGAGGAGGAGGAGGATGGGGGGCGAGACGGAGGCGGAGGAGGCGGAGAGGGAGGAGGAATGGGAGGAAACACGACGTGGGGTGAAAACAGGCTTCGCACTCTGACAATTTTTTCGCCTCGAGCTTGGGCCTCTCTGGCCTGGGGGCGCCCGGGCAAAACAGGCCAGGCGCAACAGCCAGGGCAGAGGGGCCCTGCTGCGCTTCATTATGGATGGTGGAAGAGGACGAGGAGGAGGAGCGAGCGAGCAGAAGCCGAGGGGCGGTTGGATCCAGGCAGAGAGGAGGAAGGCACACCCCTCAACCCCCTTCCCTAGCACCTGCACGATGGAGCCTGAAGGCCAGGACCACCTTGCAAGCGCCAGGGCTGGGGGCGAGGGGCACGCCTGCCCCGCAGAAGGCCGCGCGGGCGGCCAGGGTGCGCGGGGCCTGCGGCAGGCCCGTGCTCACCTGCACGAGGCCCGCCGCGGCGGGGAAGAGCACCCACAGGGCTCCCAGCGCCACGAGCGGGGGGCCCTCGTACACGTGGTGCAACAGGCAGACCACGACACAGAAGCACCCCTGGAAACCGAGTAAGGCGTGCTAAGACATCACCACACTCCAGTCGCACGGCACGCGAGGAAAACTAATAACACCTGGGCATGGCCAAACCGAGCCTGGCCCTGGCAAGAAAAGAAAGAACGAATTGCTGAGGACTGCGAGGATCAAAGACCGCACCCAGTCCTCGTACAGTAGAGGACTACGTGTAAGTGGTTCACTCACCCACAGCGGGCCGCCACACCGAACCTTGGATGTCCCTGGCACAAGTGGCGACCCGTCATACCATGTCTGGGTCCACATCCCCATCGCTGTCAGACTCGTGTGGAGCACCCAACTCCAAAGCTTCAGGGTATGAGAGACCATGATCTTCCAAAATCAAAAAGGTATCCAAATAACGCTGGGGTTCCGCACGGAAATTGCCTTTGGGCCGCAGGCCGACCTCAGGCATGTCCCCAAGCGGGTCTCGCCAGCCTTTGGACTTGCACAGTAGGGCTCGGGCTCTGGCGGAAGGTCTCCGAGCGTTTTCTAGAGCCATGTCTTTGCGCAGCGACTGAGGATGCCTCAGATTGCTGAAGTGCCTCGTGTTTTCGGCGATCCTGCCACTGCCACCTTCTCTGCCACAACAAACGCTGTCCAGACCCCGATGGTTGAGGCTGCCTGTGTCGGAATACTTGCAGCAGCTGGTGCAACATATCAGCGAGCGGTCCTGACCAACCACTGGGTACTCTAGCAGCGCATGCTTCTGCACCAACCATGGCCACGGCAACAGCGGCTCCTTCGCCGCCGCCTGCTGCTGGGGAGTGGCCAGATCGTCCTCCTGTGGCTCGGGGAACATGTGATATTTGAACTCATCGCCCTGCTCGTGGAACCACACCTCAAACTGGGCAGTGTAGCACGGCAACAACTTGTGGAGGCGCATGGCGCCGCGAACGAAACGTTCCTGAACATCCGTAGCTCGATGGACAGCGGCCCCCGCCTTGGCCAACTCATCGGCCTCCGCATTTCCAGCCCGATCAAACTGGCTGATGACTGCTTCCCTGACGTCTGCCATGCTCGTGTGCGCCTTCACGTGCGAAACAGGAGTTCGGCAGAAATCGTCGTTCATCTTAGTGCGCTTCCACAAATGTGCTCTCAGGTTGCCTGGCCCGCTTGCAGCCTCGAGTCTGTGGCAGCAACCGACCGAGCCTTTGCCATCTGACTTGACTTGATAAGGGCCAATGACCAGCTGACTGGCCTTCATGAGCGCATAATCCTCGGCATCGCGGGCCACTTGACTGGGCCCTTCGCACCGTGGAACGGCTCCGTGATATCGTGCACCGACGAGGAGGAGGAGGAGGAGGAGGAGGAGGAGGAGGAGGAGGAGGAGGAGGATAACGTGGACGAGAACATGACGAACTGCGAGGGAGGAGGACACGGACTTGGGGGGAAACGGACATCAAAAGGGCTGAGTGTGAGGAGGAGTACCCTGTCAGCAGCGCCAGCACTGAGCGCCGGGCAGTGTCCCCGCGACGGGACCGAGGGGAGGCGGCAGAGGCGGCGGCAACGCCAAGGGTGCTCGGTCGACGTGAAAAGAAGGCCTCGCTGCTTCCCCCTTCATCGTCTACGCGCTTGTACAGTATGGGGCCCGACCACACGAAACCTTCCACAATGAACCCAACCCTGAGACCCGAGGACGTCCGTGGACGCTTGGTGCGGGCGCGCCACGCTTTCCATAAACCATCGAAATCCACAAGAAACCCAAGCAACCCTAGAGGCGAGCAGGGTGTTTCTTGGCATGGGCCTCCGCTGCATGTACAGCTGATGTAACATGGAAGGGAGGCGTCGCAAAGCCTCCTTCCGGAGCTCCCAGGGAGGAGTTCTCCCAGACCCTCCTTCCTGGGAGCGCAGGCAGGAAACCTCCCGAACGTTTCCTCCTGGGAGTGGAGGCCTGGAAACTGCCACCAACACCAATACAGGGGGGGGCCTCCACAGGGGGAACATGATCCTGGATTTCGGTGTTGGTGGTAATGTTTCGGTCACCTTGGAAGCTGGAATATTACCACCATCGCCGAGATCGGGATCTTCTTCCCTCGGTGGAGGCACACCGCCGATACTGGTGTTGGTGTCAACCTCTAGGCCTGCGATGGGAGCCCCGGAAGGAGGCCTCCCGAAGCCCACTCGGGCGTTGGCAGAACTGGGTTGAGTGGAACCTGGTTTACTGATTTGTACCGGGGGCGCCCTCCCGTCCCATTTCTACTGGGGCTCCCAACTTCGCGCTTCGCGCTGCGCGAAGCGCGAAGCGCGAATAACTTCGCGCTCTCGCGCCGCCCTCCCAAAGGGAGAATAGGAGGACGAGGAGGAGGGGGAGAAGGAACGAGGACCGCGAAGCGCGAAGCGCGAATAACTTCGCGCCCTCGAGGGAGCCCTTGTTTCTACTGACCGGAACTGCCGTCACCCGAAAAACACCAATTACGGCAAACCTGGTTTAGTGAATCTGGCCAATTGAGGGGCCCCAGGGCCCTACCACTAACCGGGTCCCTTTACCTGGGGTCCTGGCTAAACCCGACCCACCCCTGAATCGAAAATCGGATCGGACTGGCTCGGACCACCACCAGCTCGGAGGAGCAGAGCCGGGCGGCCGCGGGTGCCCCCCCCGCTGCCGCCGCCGCCGACATCCGAGAGGCCCCTGCCTGGCGCCGCGGCCCGCAGAGCAGTGCGGGCCGCCGGCGGCGCTGCCGCCGCCGCCGCCGCCCCCCCCCCCGTCGCCGAGAGGCAGGTCGTCGCCGCCGCCCCTCGTCTCGGACGAGGGCGAGTCTTTTGGCCTCCTCCTCCTCCTCCTCCTCCTCCTCCTCCTCCTGCTCCTGCTCCTCCTCCTCCTCCTCCTCCTCCTCCTCCTCCTCCTCCTCCTCTTCCTCCCCAGCGAGATCCAAGCAGGTGACAGGGGCAGGAGGAGCGCGCTGCAGCGCCGGTGCATCGGCGACGCGTCGGTGGCGTCGGCGAGGCACCGGCGACGTCGGCGCGGAGAACACTGGGCTCCACGTCGAGCCGCACTGCCGATGCATTGGCGGTGCGGCGCGATCCTCTGCCTCCGACCCCCCATCTACCCGGACCCCACCTGGGCGGCCTGGCAGAGGGCTGAGACAGCGGCAGCTCAAAGCCGATCCCCCGGCCCCTCCCGGGGCCCAGACCCACCAGCCTTCCGAGCTGCGCCCAGCCCTCGGCGAGCAAGGGGCTCGCCCCGAGCCGTCGCCTCGGTACCTCCTCCTCTGACGCTCTTCGCCCGTCTGGCTCTCGGGCCACGGCTCGGGCATCTGGCGTCGGGAGCGGCCAAGAGGGGGGTGTCCAAGAGGGGGGGGGTGCAAATCATGACCGGCAGCATGTGCGCGGCCCAGCGGGGGGGCCTGGGACGTAATGCGATAAGAAGAGGCGCCGTGACATCTGAGGAACAATCATGGCCCGCGCCATGAAACCCACCCCCCCTAATTAGTCGTCACCCCCCCTCTTTTCCGCTCCCGATGGCGGCCGCTCGGGGAGACCCGGGCCCCCGCGGCACGCTCTCGGTGAGACGCAGCTGCTGAAGAGCACCGCCGGAGAGCCGCCGAGCACCGCCGAGAACCTCACCGCCGCTGCCGCCGCCGCGCGGCCGCCCGCGCGGGGCCGTCGCCGCGCGTGGGCCGCCGCTGCGGGGCGCGCGGGGCGCGCAGGGGGCCTCGGCGGCCTCGGCCGCCTCGCGCGAGGCGCGCCGCTGCCTCGCGCGCGGGGGGCGTGCGCGCGCGCGGCCCGTGCGCGCACGCTGCTGCCCCCCGCAGCTGCGGGGACGAGGCTGGAGATGAAGGGGAACTGGGACACACAAAATAAATACACAAAAATAAAAGTATCCCCCATATTTTCCCATATTTTCTGGGTTTTTGTCTTCCCCCCCACTTCCCATATTTTCCCATATTTTCTGGGAATCGCCGATTAATTGTGTCTGTGTGTTTTTTCCCCTCCCGAGGAGAGTGCAGCAGCCTCGACGCCCTCGCGCCGTGAACTCGTGCTGGGCGCTCTCCGCCCTCCTCGCGGCCACGGCCGGAGTCCCATCGGAAAACTCTGGTCAGAAACGCTCCCCTGGAGCGGCCCGGCGGGCGAGTGCCGACTCCTGGGCCAGGACCTCGGCCCCCTCGCGTCGTTGACGAAAGACACGGCTCAAGACTTGTCCCTGCTTCTGCTCTCCCACGCTTCTCTGCCGTGCCTCGGGGCCGTCCGCAGAAACGGCTCGGGGTGCAGAGCCGCCCCGCGGGGCACGCCGAGACAAGATTAGGGCGTTGGGGCGGCGGGGCGTGCCGCTCCGTCGAGGGGGATCGGGAGGATGACGAGCGTGGAGGAGCTGCAGGAGGACGAGGAGGACGAGGACGAGGATGAAGAAGAAGAGGAATAATAATAATAATAAAAATAAAAATAATAATAAGAATACTAATAGTAATAGTAATAATAATATTAATAATAATAATACTAATAATAATAATAGTAATAATAATAATAATGAAAATAAGAAGAAGACGAAGAAGGAGAAGAAGGAGAAACAGACTCGGCCTTGCGCGTGGTCTCTGGTCGGGCCCGACGGACATCGGGCGACGAACGGAGAACCCAAAGAAAACCTCCGAGCGAGCGATCGAGCTTCAAACCGATCGATGTCAGGGTTGCTGCGCACCGTGCAGCACGAATCGGACGAGGATGATGGTGAGGAGGATGAAGAAAGAGGTGCAAGACGGAGGAGTTACACGAGGAGGAGCAGGAAGAGGCAGGGAGGCAGGAAGACGGAGGAGACGGCGGACTGCCACTCGTGAGGGAACGGACTAGTCAGAATGGGCCTGCGCTGCGGTCTTACACGCTCCTGGCGCTGTGGGCGCGCGCACCCTGGTGTCGGGCCCTGCCGTTGCGGAGGCCAGGCTGGACCAGTGGCACTGTCGCTCTGGAGGGGGCGGAAAAATCAGGGTGCGGACTTGGCCGCAAGAAACCCGACCCTGAAAACCCGCGCGCGAGATGCACAAAGGGGGAGCCCAGAGCAACACGAACACAGCACCTTCTTTCACGACCGCGGAAGTCACTGCGCAGCGTGCGGAGCGAAGAAACCCAAGGTACCCTGACGGCAAGAAAACTGGTTCTTGGTGCGCATTCCCGCTTTCCACGCTCCTGCTTCTGCGAATGCGGTAGGTTCGTGTCGTGACGACCTGCGCCATGGTCTGGATGTTTCAACCTTGATCGACTGGCGGCTTTCCGATCGCCAGATCGTTCTTTCTCGGCTGGTTCTTGGCCGCTGGCGGCGTTCAACCATGCGCGCCCGCGGCGGGGCCGCTGCCGCGTCGGGACGTCACGAGCCTACCATATCTTCCGAGGGGGGGGCGACGCGACGTTGCCCAACCTCGCGGGATGGGCCCGCCCGGGCCATTCTTCGCTGGCCACCTCGGAGCTCGGCCGCCGCCGTTCCGGCTCGTGCTCTCCACGAGCTTGCTCATGCCGCTACGGCTGGCGCGCTGGTTCCTGGCGGGAACAGCTACTTGCTTCTTCTTGCCAGGAAGTGATCTAGTTTTGCACCCAGTATATAATCGTGCACTGTAGCCTCCACCCACGCGATTGTGAAGAGGAGCGAATGGGGCGGGGGTCCCGGGCAGATTGCGAAGCTGGGGCGCAGCATTAAGCAACGATCCGGCCGCGGGCGTGTTTCTCTGTTCACGGCTCCTCAAGATCAAAATTGGTGGGCCGCGGGTCTGGCCTGGGGTGTGTCACTGGGTCGGTCGCGGGTCGTTCGCGGCTGGTTCGCGTGCTGGTCGCGGGTGGGCCGTGGGCGAGTTGGGTGGGCCGCGGGTGGGTCGCGGGGCGGTGCCAACAGCGCAGCGCCAACGCCAGACGCCGAGGCGCGTGGACACAGCACTGCATGCCAATGGCGGCAGGGCAGCGGACTGCCAAGCAGTGCCGCGGAAGCGGCGCACGCTCTGACCCCGGGACGTGGAGGCCGGCGACCGAGAGATGCGTGCGACGCGCTGGGACACCGAGGAACGAGTGGCGGCCTCAACAAACAAGCAGGGCGGCCCATATATTGGGGCCAAACTTCGGCCACTCAGCCAAAGACAGTGAAACACCTTTCGGGCCCCTCGCCCTGGAACGCGGTCACATGCGTCCCCACACTAGCTGCGCGCGGCCCAGCGCGACGGTCCGAGCGCGAGGAAGTGCAACAAGGTACAACACGTACAATTTGTATGCATATGGCACAGCACAGACGCACGTGTTTTGGCACGCGCGGGTATGCACATCTGCGCAGACGTATACGCGTACGCAGGGTATACGAACAAAAACAAGCATGACGAAGATACATGATACGCAACACGCCAAGGAAAACACCAATGCTCGCCATCGCTCGGACGTCAATTTCCCTTGCATGTTTCGGTTTCGTGCGTGCTTTTCTTGCTCGATGGTCCAGGATCGTCCTCAATGGTTCTCGCCGAGAAAACAATGCACACGTCCGAGCGATGCCAGGAATATCACCCAAACACAAGAGGTGCGTTGCTCCCCTCATGTGGCGTTCATCTTCGTCACTGGTTGACCGTTGATCTGATTCTCGGTGCACCCATAGGACCCAAACACACGAGGTGCGTGGCTCCCCTCATGTTGCGTTCATCTTCGTCACCGTTTGACCGTTGATCTGATCTTCGGTGCATCGACAGTGCGCGCGCGTGTTTCGCGCGCGCGCTTGCAGGTCCTGCTCGTCTGACCCCGCCTCCTCCGCCCACCGTCCCCGCTCCTTCTCGCCTCCGCCGGCAGGGCGAGGCCAAGAAGTCGGAGGCTGGCCATCACTCGGACGTCCATTCCCTGTGTTTTTTTCAGTTTCGTGCGTGGTTTGTTTCGCCAAATGATCAAGGATGCTCCTCGATGGTCCTCGCCGAAGGAAAAATGCACACGTCCGAGCGGTGCTAAGGAGGGGGTAATTGAGGCAGTGTCCTACGTACACAGAGGCGAGGCGAACGTGCGAGAGCCAGCAGGCATACATGACGCATCCTCAGCCTCCAGGTGCCCTGAGCGACCTGGAAGCGGCCATCTCCGTTCACCAGGGTCCACTGCACAAGGGAAACAGGGGCAGGCCTTGCAGGTCAAATGACTCCGCCGGGGAAACCACGAGGAATCCGCGAGGCCAGAGGAGGAACAAGACGACGGCGGCGGCGACGACCGTGCGGAACGCATCGGCATACCGACGGCGATGACGAGGACGACGAAGACCATCGGAAGAGGGCCCATTAAAACAACGGTGGCCCTCACCCGATCCAAATCCTCTCATCATCGGTCCCCGTACGGCAGGTTCGTGTCGCATCGACTTCGGCATTGGTTTCTAACACCGTGGGGATCGTTCAATATTGAACGATCGGCCGTTTCCAAACAGTCAGATCGTTTAACAACGAACGAACCTGTGTCGCAAGCGGCGTTCCAAGTTGAACGCTGGCGGCGGGGTCGCCGCCGGTCGACACGACGCGAACCTACCGTACTCCTCCCGCGGTCCATCCCGATTCGTTTCTCGACGCGGATCCGCCCCCAGCGACGAGAAGCCTCTCCAGGAGGCCCCCCAAGGACGAAACACGGCAGGCAAGGACGCAGTTGCCTCGACTGGTCCTCCTCTGGGAGGACGACGACGACGACGAGAATCCCAGACATCTGCCGATACGACCTTTTCCATGCGCAGCCCCAGACATCCCGACCCTTTCCCCGTGGCCAGTTGCTCGCCCCGGACCCTTGAGTTCTGATGGCCCAAGGACTTGAGCAGGGACCGACCGTCCTGGCATTTCTCTAGTCCTACCACGAAATGTTCTTAGAACCAGAAAATGTTCTAACAAAAACAATGTTTTTAGAGCGTAAGCCCGATGTGGTAAAACAAGACAGTCCCCGCCAGAAATGCTCTAAGAACATTTCGTGGACACCACAAGCGGTTCTTAGAACATTGCTTGGCAGGGCTATAGGCACGCCAAGACGCTTCGCCACTGCTTGAAGGACCCGACCACGGGCCACGGAGGTCGAAATCCGGAACGACGGCCGGCCGAAAAACCAGGTTCGTCGGACGTCTGGGGCGGCGACCGCGGGGGCGACGACGAGGCGACGACGAGGGCGCCCCGGGGGCGCCTCGCCAGCTCCTCCTCCCGCGCCCTTGCCTCCTGAGCCTCGGCCGGCGGGGCGGGGGGCGCGGAGACGGAGGGGGCAGGGGGACTGGACTTGGGCCGGGCATGTCCTCCTGCGTGGGGATTTTGGACGTAAGATCAATCATAGTTACACGTATTGAAACTTATATATTTATATACATATACATATACATATACATATACATATAAATAAACATATACATATACATATACATAGACATAGACATATACATATACATATACATATACATATATATATATATATATATATATATATATATATGTATATATATATGGTCGCCCCCCCCAGCACCCCCAAACCACCAAAACCACAAAATCTTCACTGATCGTTTCTCCTCGTCGCTCTCCTCCTCAAACCACAAAATCTTCACTGATCGTTTCTCCTCGTCGCTCTCCTCCTCCTCCTCCTCCTCCTCCTCCTCCTCCTCCTCCTCCCCCTCCTTCTCCTCCCCTCCTCCTCCTCCTCCTCCTCCTCCTCCTCCTCCTCCTTCCCTGCGTCTCCCAAGCCAAGGAAACCTAAAATGCATTGTGTATGGCGCCGTCGGTGCAAGGAAATTTTTTTCTGAGAAGCAAGGAAACGCTTTTTTTTTTTGTTGTTTTGCAAGCCCGAATGCCCGCGCTGGCCTCCCTCTCAGCACCCTTCCATGCGCGTCAGACCAAGAAAACCAAACATACACAGTGTTTGGCGCCCTCGGTGCAAGGAAACGCTGTGTTTTTTTGTTAGGTTGAGAAGCAAGGAAACGCTGTGTATTTTTGTTTTTGTAATATATTTTTTGGTTTTGCAAGCCCCTTTCCTTTCCTATTCCTTGTTGCAAAGCAAGAAAACCAAACATACACAGTGTTTGGCGCCCTCGGTGCAAGGAAACGTTTTTTTTTTTTGGGGGGGGTGCTGGGGGGGGGCAAGCATATGATATATATATATATATATATATATATATATATGTATATATATGTATACATAAACAGATGTATATATATATGTGTATATATAGAGCCACGATCGTACCCAGACTATTGTTTGACGACTTTTGAATATTCCCCCTGTAGAGGGACGTGCCCGACTGAAGACCGGACTGGACTATGGCGGCGCCAGAGGCGCCGCGTCCCGCTGCAGGGGTCGTTCGGCCGTCCGCGCCAGGGCTCCCAACTCCGCAAAAGAAAATGCCCTGGCACGCAAACGCCAACATTTTCTGTCGCCCCTGCGCACCTCGGGCTCAGCGCCCATGCAGGAGACATCTGCGCGGACCTCCGACAACTTGCGCGTAGGCAGCCACTCCTGCCTCCACCACCCTGGCCCGTTTCGTGCCGTTTGGGGGGGGAGGAGGAGGAGGAGGAGGAGGAGGAGGAGGAGGAGGAGGAGGAGGAGGGAGGAGAGGAGGAGGGAGGAGGAGGAGGAGGAGGAGGAGGAGGAGGAGGAGGAGGGAGGAGGAGGAGGAGGAGGAGGAGGAGGAGGAGGAGGAGGAGGAGGAGGAGGAGGAGGAGGAGGAGGAGGAGGAGGAGGAGGAGGAGGAGGAGGAGGAGGATTAGGGATCGCTCCCCCCCCAATGGGCGTTGCCCCTGGAGGGAGCGGGCGAGCGGCGCCAAATCGCACGCCAGGCTTCCAACGCCAGCCCTAACCCCTTCCCCCCCCCTCGCCGACGCTAGTAACGTTGCGCTGCACACAGCAGATTTCGTGACCCCCCGCCATTTCCGCCCCCCTCCCCTGGAGAGACGGTCGACTTCGAGGCGATGGGCCCACCACACGTTGCGGTCTTCGCGGCGTCGGTGAAGAGTGGTGGGGAACGGACGGCAACCTGAGCAACGCGGAGCTGACGAAGGGCTTCAAGAGTCTGTGGAAGGACGCGGTGATGATTCACTCTCCTCAACAGCTTGCGGATCTGGTGCCGTTCTCCAGCTGGAAGGTGAACACGGGCAAGCCCGACAATGACAAGGGCAAGGGCAGCAGCAAGCAGGAGCAGCAGGGCATGACGAAAGGGCGCATCACGTACACGGTGGAGCCCTCTCACACGCCAGGACAGAAGTTGGACGTGGCTCAGCGAGGTGATGATGAACATGAAAGGGGTGTACATGATGGGAGCGGCCCTCCCTGGCCCGCTGCAGCGGACCCTGTTGAAGATGATCGACGGGATGTAGGCTGTTGCGGTCCAGGACAAAGTGCGCTCGAGGTGAGGAGTCGGGTTGAGGCTACGCCTCCTGCCAGTCAGAATCTTTTTGGCTCCGAGGTCGACGAACTTTGATTGGTTTCAGAGCGAGAGGTTTCAACAATTGTTGGCTGCAGGCCACCTTCCGCCGAGACCCCCCTCCGACCCCTCGTCCGACCTCGGTTCCTACAGTGAATCTCCCAAAAGAGGCGCCTCGTGGGCGCGGTCGGGGTTCCCGTGGGAGACAGTGGGGTTCTCAGCCCCCTCGGGCGACATGCCCTCTGGGCGACATGCCCGCCTCTGGGCGACATGCCCTCTGGGCGACATGCCCTCTGGGAGACAGCGGAGGCCCCCCTCTGGGCGACATGCCCGCGGGGAGGGGTCCGCCTCCCCACGGGGGCGGTGCGTCGGCGGGGGCTGGGCCTGGTCGGGTGCTCGTGGTGCCCTCCTGGTGGCCGGCGAGGCGCTCCTGGCCCCGTGGGCTCCGTCGTGTTGGCTCTGGGGCGGCGCCTTGGCCCTCGATCGGGCCTCCCCCCGTGACGTGTGCACGGCTCCCACGTTTTCGAAACGGCGTCCTTGAACGGTTTGACCCCTCGGGATCCAGGCTGTTGCTATTTCTGTGCTGTTGTCAGGCGAAGTCGACGAGGGATCCCATGACCATGTCGTTTTGTCTGTCTCCTCGTCCTCCTCCTCCTCCTCCTCCTCCTCCTCCTCCTCCCCGAGGCCTCCTGGTCGGCCAGCGCCCTGCGCTCCTCGGAGGCCCGCTGGTGCCGCAGC